AATTAAAGTGCCTCATGATCACTTGTGATAATATAAGTTAGGTACTTGTGTTAAGAAGTACAACGTGACATAATTTATATTTTGATGATAAATAATTTTTCACAACCAATGTATAGGGTAGGCACCTTGTACTAAAAAGTACTTACATATTCACTATTCGGATATTTGATTTGTCCTTATCATAAAAATAGTTAAAGTTGACATTAGTACACTTGGAGTGTATTGAATGAACCACGTGTCGATTTTAATTCTAAAGTATGACCGTGCAAAATAGATTATTTCATCTAAATCCCTTGACAGGGTTATGTATATTGTTCAAATATCTCGGTGAGTTGGGAATCTGAAAATAAGCGAAGTAGAGAACATAAATTCGTGTCGGGAATCGTTACCCTGAAAAATGGGTAAAGTGACTACTTACCTAATTTTTATTGAACAGTTAAAATCTGATATCACTGTTTAGCGACACTAAACTTTGACATATGTGATTTGTCCACAAAACAGTTGAAGAAAATGATATTTAAGTTTGAAAATAATTGGAAGGGCAAAACGGTCATTTATGCTCATATCTAATTATCGAATCACAGACGGAGATAAAATACATATACGGCAGATCAGAAGAAAGTATTACAAATTTATTGGCTTCTATGATCTTTTATATTTCGAGTATCTAAGGATCGAGACAAAGGCCACACTCAAATCGAGATCATCTATGAATCTCCTATAGAGGCTCTCGTTTATGGTTTTGGTGACCATATAAAATGATACTAGACTTGTATAGATGTTTGTCATTGATATGATTTATCTAATGGGAGGGTCCCAACTTAATAAGTGGACACAATGACATTTCCTATAGAGAGGTATATTGGATCACAATGATTAAATAGTAGTTGCATTATTATAATTAGATATATATACATGTGCATTCAATTAATTGATCGTGAAAGATGGACTTAAGATGTATAAGGTTTACTGTGTGAATGTGTGATTAAAAATAAGTATTAATACAATATTTCTCTAAAATATTGTTTAGTACAAATAAAATATTCATTTTCAAGCAAAAATACACTTTTTTTTTTATCCTTTTAAACAACCATGTTTCAACAAGAAAATCGACATGAAATTCGTCTAAAATAAGATATGCAAAAATATTACAATGTTTCAAGAGTAAGGGCATGTTTGGGCCTGATTAAAATCTGATTTTAATCTAAATCAAAGTCAAACAATTAATATTAACAACATCTTTCATGGATCCTACATCTTTTCAATCACATATTTCAAAAACTTCTATCACAATCCACTGAAAATCTAATTTTAATCCTCACCAAACACCCTCTAAATATATAATATTATTTTTAGATATTATTATGTATGAATTTATGCTTTTTCTGGAACAACAAAATAATATAAATATAATATTCATTGTCAAACAAAGCTACAATATTCTGAAATATTGATTTAGAATGTTTATTTTTCAAGAATAATAATATACAATTCAAAGTTAAGAGAATATTAACATTTTCTTTGAGTAAAAAAGAAGAGTTTATTTATAAATTCAATTTGTTAGAACTTCTTGTCATTCTTTGATTGATGAAAAAAAAAATTATTTTTCTACCTCTATTAGCTAAAGATTTGTGAGCAGAAAGATGAATAAATTTTGCTAATTCATTTGGCTAGAGTTTTGCGATGATAAAGAGAAAGTAAAAAATACAGAAGTCATCAGTCTTATGTGTATTTTATTGAGAATCAAAGTCCTATATTTATAAGGAAGAATTATGAATACAAGGATACAATAGCCAAAATAATTAAGGTTGCAAGAATATAGTGCATATCTGGATGCCATTCTCTCCAGATTTTAATCCAAAATCCGAACGTTATATAGTCATGTAGGCCTCATTGTAGCATCCATTGTTGACTGCTTTCTTATCAATCAATTAAAGTGGACTAATGAAAAGACAATTGTGCACCTTAATTTTTGCATTCAATCTTCTTAAGTAGGGCATTTTTGGAATTTCAAAATGAAAAAAAATTGGTTCTTTTTTGTTTGTCAAATATTGCGGTTGGAGCTAGTTGCATAGTGCTGTTTATAACATTCCAAATTTTGATCAAAATTTGGAGAGAATGGCACGCATATATGCCCATAATGATCATCACTATTTAATATATAATTTACAGGTTTAACTATTTATAAATTTTATCAGATGGATATGTCAAACATAGCCCTATTTGACATCCATTAGAATGAATTTTTTGAGGAAAATGAGTTTTGAAATAGTCTTTTTTTTTTTTTTTATAATGTGTGGTTAAAAAATAAAAAATAAAAANAGTTTGAAAATAAAAAAATAAAAATAAAGAATTTTGATTTAATGGATGTCAAACGCGGGTATGAACACTCATTCAAGCATACCTATTAAAATATAAATTTACATTTTTACTTTAAGCCAACTTACTTCTTTATAAGCTTTGGCGAAAACAAGCCATATAAATACAGTTTGATTTGCTTTTTCATTAACTTCGATTTTTTTAAAACTCAATTTATGCCTTAACAACTAATGTGTTTATTAAATGTCTGATCCGTAAAAATCAGACCAAGTAAGATATGATATCTCATTGCAAAATGGGTAGATCTTCCAAGAGTAATTAAGGTACTAATGTCTTAAAAAAGTTCTTTTTAGAACAATCTGTGGTAGATTTTGAGAAGCAACGAAATGGTAGTTTTTCAGATCCCACTTAAAATGGTAAATTTTCATATTCCACTCTTAGCTTTTTCAATCGTCTATTATCAAAACAATAATTTTAGTCCTAATTAATTAAATTTTCTTTTTATAAAGGTTTAATTGTATTCCAATAATAAAGCATCTTCCACGTTAAAGATAATTTAAATTTATTTGATATTTTATCTAATTACATGAAAATGGAGATATTGAGAATCGAATTTCGGTAAGACAGGTACATAAAAAGATAATTTAGAATTATTTAAATATTTTCTATATTTTAACTTCATGAAATTTAAGATTTAATAGATTTTTTTATTTAAAATAATTAAATTGAATGCATTGTCTGTGAGAAATTAAACCATAGTCACGAATTTGTTACACGATGATTTGTAGTACGTTTCGTGCCATGAAATTTTGCTATTTCATACGCAATCACCATATCGGCAAGGCAAACACACTTCGATTGGGTCGCAGCAAAAGATTTGAATATCAGACTTTAAGTTGGAGAGAAGAGCAACTATTGAGAGATAAGTCTCATACATCCACGCTGTGGTGTGAAAGTTAAGTGATTAGTTTGACATAGGAAAAAGTTCGTGACTCGTATGATTCTAGTAACCACCAAGATCTTTTTAGAGTGTGTTTGATTGACTTTATATTCTATAAAAATGTCATTTTTTCACTAAAGTTCCTATTTTTGGAGTGCTTGATTCACGTTTTTCTATGAAAAATATTTTCCAAAAGTTGGTCAAGTGACAATATTTTTCTCAAAGACGGAAAATATTTCCTTCAAGGGGATATATTTTTATTTTCAGAGAATTCTCTCTCTCTCTCTCATCTATTTGTCAATAAAATATGGACAAATATAATATTTTTTATGTTGAAAATTAAACAAATCTAATACATTTAAATAATAATTTTCATGCGAATAAGTTCTAAACAATTCCATTGTCTAGAACTTTTTTTTTTCCATGCTTGCAGGGGAGAGCTAGAAATTTATGTTGGCTAAATTTTTTTTATTTATTTCAATGAACTCATACCATAAAAAATGATTTATGCTACTCCAGATATAGTTTAAAAGTTAAAACTCAATGACGCTCATGATAGAGTAGCTTAGAATATATCTTTTGATACTCATGACAAAGTTCTAACAAATATATTTTTAACTAATAGAATTAAATATATACCATATTACTTATTTTGATAATAACATTTATTTCATAGTTGAAATAAATATTTTTTTAACTCATAAGCGTAAATAAGTAATATATAGAAAATACATTAGAAAAAAATTAATTACTTTTAAGGTTGGTCAAATATGTGGCATCTTATACTATTCAAATAAGCCGTTTATCTTTACTTTAATCAATGAAAATTATTTGTTAATAAACCAATTTGATTACAAGTGAACTCTTTAAATTTAGTTATATGCATATGAAATAAAATACATATTTTGATAATGAATTATTTGTGCATCATGAATGTGAATAAAATAAATACGTAGTGTGTAGAGTTTTAAACTAAATTTGAATAATTGAACTCCAGGCTTGTGGTTAGGAATGAAGTTAGTTGAACTAAAATTAATTTTTAGGATGGACTAAATATTTATTACTTTTGATTTCACCATGATTCTGGGCTAAATTTTCTATTTTTTACAAGTCAATTTGCTTCTAAGCTAGGACAAGGCTATGCTATAGCCTTGCCCTGTTCCCCTCTCTATCCGCCTCTACATGCTTGCAATCAAAAACACTTTTAGAGTAATTTCATTTAAGACTACTGGTGTCAAACATTATTGTAGGTGACACTATATGATATTAAATAATAGGTTCACTTAAATACAAATTTCATATAATTCATCTAATTGAACCTATCAAGTATGATTACCTAGGTACTCTAGAACTATTGGTGCTGATAGCATCATTCTATCTTTCATGCATTTAAGCTAAACCTTGCTGAAAGCATAGAAGGAACCTAATTTGGACAAATTAATGTTTTGCTCAACAAAAATGAAATTTACCCTGAATAGTCTGTTTGATCCCCATTATTATTATTATTAAAAAAGAAAGAAAAGTTTTTGGGTTGTTTGTAATATTATTTTTTGATGAATGTGTGGTTGAAAAGAAGAGAGAAAAATGTATTTAAAAAAAATAGAGGGTCAAAAAAGGTCCCACCTTCCAATTTAAAAACACACGAACAGAAAAATACTTTGTTCAGTTGGAGCATCTGCTTTTCTTTTTCAAGTCAATCTTATTGTTTCAGTTGAATAAACATGTTGAGGGACGAGGAGTTCTACGAAGCATTAAAGTGGCCTGGGATCCTTGCACTGCATGCTGGACACATCGAACCAATTGCACCTGCTGCTTCCATTTCAGGCTGGATAGGCTCATGGTAGAACACATTTCTGCACCAAACACAAACACTAGAGCCCTTACTCCTACCGTCCGCTATTTTTGGCATCAGATCATTATTTTCCAGCCAAAATGAGGAATCGAGTCCTTGTTCCATATTTGTAGCATGTGGAAAAATGTTAGACTCCATGGAAATAGCATTTGAACCGTTTGAACCCAGAAAACTGTATTCGATTGGTTCAGCTCCACCTGCCCTTATACCTTCAGCATTAGTGTTGATATCATGCTTCGTATTAACTTCAAATAATTCTTGTGCTTCCTGCCAACATAAGATATTGATGGAACAAGTAAGTAACAGAACCAGGAAGGCACAAATTGATTCATGCGTTGGGGGTCAGATTTGAAGAAAGCAGAATCAATCCCCGCCAATTCTGATTTAAAATGGGGAAACTGAACCTTCAATTATAAATCAGCCAATACTATTAACAAGCCTGAACTAGAAATATTCCTCAGTGAAAAAATAAAACCACCTGATTAGTAAATTCTACTATATAAAGACTGGGGGAGGAAAAATTGATATTGAAAAACAAAACACTTTTTACAGGATTACGTGGTATGATTAGTTTGTAAACAATGACAGTTGTGTACCAGGGTCAGTAGCTAGATAACAATAAGGGGGCATGGACTATATGTAGGAGTGAATTGCTCAAGTAGTCACTGAACTTTACGCCATGTTTCCAAGGGGTCACTGAACTTTAAAAATCACCCAAGTCATCACTGAACTTTGTAAAAAATTTCCACGAGGTTACTGAACTTTAAAAATCACCACATTCATCACTAAACTTTACAAAAGGTTTCTACGAGATTACTAAACTTTGCAAAATGTTTCCTAGGAGATCACTGAATTAGTGACTCCTGGGAAACATTATACAAAGTTCAGTGATGAATGAGTTGATTTTTAAAGTTCAGTGACCTCGTGAAAACCTTTTGCAAAGTTCAGTGGTAATTTGAGTAATTTTGAAAGTTCAGTGACCTCTTGGAAGCATGGCGTAAAGTTCAGTGACTATTTGGACAATTCACTCCTAGGCCAAACGTTACTTTGGGGTTTATGAGTATATTATTAAAGCATCTTCAATGGTGGTATAAAATTGGGTGTGTGTATGAGGGCTGTCAATTGATTGAATTTTGATACTCTTCTTGCAATATGATTTTAAAACCTGTGTTCGAAATAGTGCCCCACATTTGAACAAATATAGTACTTGTATAATTTCATAGAGTAATAAATTATATCTTACTATTGACTTAAGCTATATGGCATAACTTGTAAAGGGTTGAACCTTGTTCATGCATATATTAATACACCTGAGCAAAAATATTGCACATTAAGATACATAATGGGTACCTTATTTGACATTATATCAAATGCATGAAAGCAGCTAGATGGTTGCACTCGTGTTGTAGTACCAGTGAAACAACCCTGCGAAACATTTTCTCGACCAGTTGTCCAAAGGCCGCCAGCCATAACATCCTCATCAGGCTGCAGATTGTTTCTGTCAAAACCAATTATGAAGCCGTTGCCAGAATTTTCCACCTGATTGCCTCTGAGTCCATCCCAATCCCTGCCTGAATAATTCATGCTGAAACTAGTTTCAAGTTCCCATGTTTTGTTGTTTAAAGACGAATCAAGTAAACCAAACCCCAAAGGTTTTCCTTGTTTGGTANCAAGTAAACCAAACCCCAAAGGTTTTCCTTGTTTGGTATCCTCTACTGCACTACTAACATTGTCACAAAAATTAGTTCGAACACAATACGTTTTCTCGGTGCCACATTGAACACTAAAACTACCTAGTAGATTTTTTTCCTGTTCAAATGTATCAGAGCTTGTATGGAGATGGCCAGAAGAGCCAGAAGAAAGGCTCAGCTTATAATTTCTTGGGTTTTCTATATAATGAAATTTAGGATCATTCTCAAAGGTAGTGGAGATCATATTTAGAGTATATGCCTCATTAGAGACTTCTGCAGCACAAGACTGTGTAAGCAATAAACTTCCAGATGGTTCCAGTTTGCACTCTTCCGCAGCACTGCTGATCACCCGGACGACATCTTCTTTCATAATATTTTTCTCTGTTTCAAATGCAAAAGAGCAAGGTTGAAGAATTTTTTCCTCCTCGATGCCTAGCACAGCATCTGAATTTACTTCATTATGACTACCAAAAGAAAGAGACATTTCACTAGTCCTGACATTTTGGACGCCATCAACTTCAGGCTTTTCCATTTTTCTTCTACAAACCTTGTCAAAAAAATATTCGGTACTGATGTTCCTATCATAATCCGATAGTGTAAGCAAACCGCTTTTACAGGTAATTTGCACACCCTCTTCCTTTGCCAAACAAGTGGCCTCCTCATTTTTATATTTTTTCACACGTGCTTGTTCATTCCAAGATGGATCTGAGGAGATCCCAAATTGCGTTTCCTCGTCGATGCTACTTAAAGCATCCTTATCTGCTTCAGAACTGCCATTCCCACTGGTTCTGAAGCTACATTTTCCATCAAGTGTACACTCACCAACTGAGCTGGGTAAATTGTCTTCAACAACCACTTCCTCATCTCCATATGCAGTCATCATGTGCCTTTTGGATTCTTTGTTTTGATCACACCATGTTTCTGTAGAAATTGTTGGAATGGGCACGCTGTCAACATTCTCACAAGAAAGGACTTCAAAATTACTCTGCTGCTCCATTGTAGCACTATAATTCTCCTGTCCAATAGGCCTTGAGCAACATCCAAATATAGAGTCATTATCCACAAACTTCTCAACGTCACATTTAAGTTCATTCGTTGACGGAGAGCGATGCTCATCATTTACAACAATATCACATGTTTCCACGTTATCATCTGAACCAAATAAACCACTTCCAGAGACTCTGTGTTGTTTGGAATACTCTAAGGTAACAGAATTTTTCATATCACCAGCTGCTGCTTCAGTGAATTGAAAAGGTGAACAGCTTTCAGAACTTTTCCCCAGCACATTGCAACCATCAGATATTCCAGCAACACTATCAGGGATACACACATCAACAGAACTTTCATGGAAACCTTCGTTCTCGTTGTTAGATGAGAGAACCTCATCAACTCCTCTTAAATTGCCATTAGCTGCCATGCGATCTCCAACATGATTGCTGGTATTCACATAGGAAGTTTTTGCAATATTATTGCCCACTGAACCTATTGATCCTTTCAACATAACCTCTCTAACAGGTTGTCGAAAAAAAGAACTGGTGTCAGCACAAACTCCCACATCAACAAATAGTGATTCTTCAGTACTTTTCACATGGTTTCTCTCATGAGCACCGATACGACCATTGAAACTATTCATTTCGTTAGATGTTTTATGGGTGGACATGTGTTCATAATTTCCCTCTTTAAGTATTACCACATCATTGAGAGACAGAGCATTTTTGTATATCTCTTTACGATGAAGAGATAACTGGTGGTGAAATAGATCATCCTTCTCAGTAAAAGTCATTTTGCACTCGTCACAATGTAAATATTTTCCTACTTTGTCAGATGGCTGATCCCCAGCATTCAACGTGACTTGCATTTCATGATTAGAAGATGTCGAAGAAATAAAAAGTGATGATGCAGGGCAAACCAGGTTTTCCTTTCTGTTGTCATCTTGGTTAATAACATTCACAATCTGTAAAATATCCAATGAACAAATCAACAAACAAAAAGAAAGCATACACAGAGACAACCAAAGAAAGAAATAGTAAACACAGGGTAACTTACACTGGCAGAAGCCAAGTTTTTGCCATCATTGATATTCTCATTATTCTCAGCACAATTAACCTTATTCGCATCTTGGGCACTATGAAGAGAGATCAAGTATGAAGATATATCCTTGCATGACAAAAATTGCTGTCCACTGGGGCTGTAAATCACCAAATTAGCAATAACTCAATACAAATAGTTAAACAATTCAAATATAATATAAATGAAAGCAGATGTATGCTAAAAGTACAATTCAGGTTCAGGCACTCAAAAGTAGCTATTGAAACAGATTAGCATTTTTCAATTAATAATTTTTTTCTGTAAAGCTTCATTTATATATCTGCTATGAAGCCAAGCTGTTGAGATCTTTTCAGGAACAAATAAAATTATCAGGCAAATGCTACCTTTCACTAGCCAGATTAATAAAATATTCTTGGCACATGACCTTCAAGTGGTCTAAAATGTTTTTAAACAATTAAAATAAACAATAGAAATGATATTGCAGAGTCCTGATTAAGCATTGAATAGAAATCATGCTGATCCCATCCATCCGTCCCCCACAGACAAAATTAACCTTTTATGGGGATAAAATAATAGTAGATACTTAAAGAGTGATAAATGTACAGTTCAATTACTAAATTTTATTTGCTTCACAGCTTAAATATGATGTCTGCTCAAACCATGTTAATAAAATGTATGCAATAATGGAAGGATGAATGCATGTTGCTTTGTTTAGCAAATTCTTTAACCAATTTCTAATCTTGTGGCTGGAAATCAAGGCAAATTCTGAATACTAGATATGACCTCAAATAACAGGGGTCAAGGTCGGCCGAACCAAACTGGGGGGAGGGGATCTTGCCTGTACGAATTGGGGCATATAAAATTTGAAAACATCAGCCTCTATTTACTATGTAAGAATGGGTAAATTTTGTTCATGAAATTTCATTAATAAGTGAAACATTACTCTAAAGGATGAGTAGCAAAGAAATGACTTTGCACATGCCTTAATCATTCAACATATGAGAGGCCTGCATACAGCGTTTTGATGTCAATTTCTCATGTCCATGTGAACACATAATGAGGAAGATATATTTAAACTTCATCTAAATTTCCATATTAAGAGTAACTCCAAAACGCTTTTATTAGTCACATCCTCTTTATTCTAGAGAGTCAATCACATTTTTAAGGACTCCAACAAACTCTCTATATTCAAAAATTAAATAAAGAGTAGATTTGACTCTCAAATGAAAGCACTTTTAGTGCTTTCATTTACTATTTCACCACTTTCAATGCACCACTATCACTTTGTTTTAATCATTAATTTTCGCATAAGAGAGTAATAAAATAAAAAAGAGGAAAACTAGGAAAAAAAGTGGGAAAATGTTAATTTACGATAAACTTAGCCTCCATTTTGAAAGAGTTTATAAATAGATAGAAATAAATGGTGAATAAGTGGATAGCACTTTTGGGTCTATTGAAATGTTTGGTTGAAAATGAAGTTTGACCATTTATAAATAAATTATAAATCATTTATAATTTAGCCAAATGGAGGCTTATATTCTTATTTAGCTTTGATATTGAATTTACTGGTGAAATCTTTCAATATTGAAGAACGGTTGTTCGTTGTACTAAGATACTTTTGGCTCTATATTGTATCACAAGTGCAAACAAAATAACAAAACTCATGTACAAAAAAGTGCATATAATAGATATAAAACAAATTAATCCTTAAGTTCATCAACCTTTCTCATGAATTTCAAATTTATTATTATTATTTTTTTTAAATCACCTTCTATAATCCAAGATATACAAAATGCGACTTAACATGGACTTGACTTGTTGGCCGCCTATCATTAAGATATTAAAAAAATATATAAGACACACCATTAGACATGTCAGCCACGTTCCCCATCGTATTCAAGTCGTATCTATGTGTAAAATGCATTGAACACTTACACTCTACCCTAGGGAGCTTTAGTACTTCACAAGTATCTCCTAATTCATTAAAATATATTTGGATTCTTAACAGCAAAAAATAGAAGTTCCCAACTTCATTTCTCAAAATCATTTATTAATCCATTCATATAAGTGTCCTTGTCCCCGATACTCAGCACTGTAGTCTTTTTCAAGCCATTGGTACAATTCTTGCAACCCTGGATCATGAACAATGGTGTTTAGAGATAATGTTCTTTTTCAAACACAGATCAAAATTTGCCTTGCCAAAGCGCTTCATCATATAGAATGGACATCTTCCTAGTGTTATATCACAAAAATCAATTTAAGTTAAAGATTAAATAGTCTATTCCTAGTGCATTTTACTATATTCAGAACAATGCTGAGCACATCACAATGGCAACACTCAACAGCATACCCATACTCTGTGTTATTCAATACTAGGTAATGAATGCCAAGGATTACATGCCCAAATTCCCGGTCGTTAATCTACTCAATTAATTTATGAGCTGTCTTTTTCCAAGTACATCTAGGTTCCCTGATTGCAAAACACGATGCAAACAAGAACAAATATATAATGGAACAGCGTTGTTCGAATAAGAACCTTAGGTAACGACGACAATACAACCACACGTGTCCTTGCTTCTTCTTGAGAGAGAGTAAAAGCTTCCAACCAATTGGTAATGTGCTCCCGAACATGCTGGCATCCACAATCCTCCTCTTCTTCCTGCTACTTCCCCATTTCCCATTCAGCCCCTCCAAAAACCTTAATAACTCCTCTTGGCTCTTCAAACCTTCTGTCCTCCGTCTAATTTCCTCCGCATATGGATCATCCACTGTCCCCAAAGCCACCAAATCCACTTCCACCCCATCCCTATTCAATAAGGCCTCTCTATCTCTATCCCCATCCCCCACATTCCCACCCACAAAAATCTCACTAATAATCAAACCATTCTTATTATGATTACCATCAGAAAAATCGACATTAGCATTAACCCCCAGAGTAGAGTTGGCATTGTTCTCCATCATTTCCCGACAAGGGCCCCGTTTCCGTTTATTGTTAACAGGAACCACGACATTGGAGGACGATGAGGAAGGAAATGACGGTAATTGTTGGGGGAGGGAATACGAGTAATCTACTTTAACAGGGATTAGTTCTTCAGGGTTAGAGTTGTAAAAAAATAATTGCTTAAGGAGAGAGATAATCCTCGAATTTTCTTCCTTCTCAGGATCTGAATTACCATTATTAATGTTCGCAACGGCTGTAGGACGAAGATGAGGAGTGCGGCGGCGAGGGACGGATGAAGAGGCGACGGAGGAAGAGGAGGCAGGAGCGAGGCGGAGGCGGGAATAAGTCTGTTTGCGGGAGCCGGCAGACTCATTGAAGACGCTCCTGTCGATCTTTGGAATTACCACGTCCTCACAGCGGAGGATACCGATGGCGGAGGAAGAGCATTGGGAGAGGGAATATAGTTCGGATTGGGAGAATAACCGGAGATCTATAATGGGTAGTGAATCTACCTGGGGAGGGCCACCGTCTGCGGCGGAGGTGGAATCAACGGTGACTGAGGCCATGTTAAAATTGTTGGAAATGAGAGTAGTTTATTTAAGGCAAAAGTTTAAGGGAAATACGTACAAATAGCCTAAATTTGAAGCCATAATTCGAGAATGGCTTTGACCATTTTAAAGTTTTAACCTTCCTAAAATACCCTCAAAATAAAAAATTGTCTAACAAGTCATTTTAAGATATAATAAATTTCATTTTAGTCCCTAAAATTTTAATCTTATATAAATTCGACAAATTCCTTCCCCTTTGAAATTAAAATTTAACTTCTTCTTCACCATTAACTATTTCCACCTATTAAACTCAAGAATTTGAAGATTTGGTTTACTATTGAAATTGTTTTATTGAAAACCCCCCACAAAATGGTATCAGAGCTATAAGAAAATGACAGATAATGAACAAATTTGTGTAGGATACTATGAAAACGATTCTACTGAATACTTAGATACCGATTATTATATTTAGCATCTTTTTAATAAATCAAGAAATTTGATTAGAAAAATAAAAGACTCAGATAGTTTTAAAATAAAGAAAATTAATTTTCTCTTAATAGATTTTGATGAAATTTTAGATGATGACTTATGATATCTTGTTAAAATAC